CTCGGCTCACCACATCCTCCGCCTCCTGGGTTCAGGCAATTCTCCTGCCTCAGCCTCCTGAGTAGCTGGGATTACAGGCACGCACCACCATGCCCAGCTAATTTTTTGTAGTTTTAGTAGAGACGGGGTTTCACCGTGTTGACCAGGATGGTCTCGATCTCTTGACCTCGTGATCCACCCGCCTCGGCCTCCCAAAGTGCTGGGATTACAGGCGTGAGCCACCGCGCCCGGCGTGAGTGAACTTTCTTTAATGATCACACTTCATACCCATGGGGCAGCCTAACTATAGAAGCAGAGGTGTAAAACAGGTAGGCTGAGGCTGTCAGTGTAAATTTGGGGTCCATCAAGGTAGGCAACACCACAGATGTCATAAGATGCTACAGGGAAGTGAATGTGAAATGAAAAGACAACTAAAGAGAAAACTCTAATAGAGGTTTCAATAAAGAGAAGCCAGCAAACAAACAAACAAACGGAAAAAAACCTAAGAAAGAATAATGAGAGGTACAAGAGGATCAGGAGAGTAGGGTGTAGTGAGAGTAAAGGGAAGAGAGAGTGTTAGCTGAAGGGTATGATCAGTAATGTCAACTGCCACAAAGGATTCGAGAAAAATAAAAAAAAGCAATCCACTGTACTTGAAAATTTGGAAATATGTGGTAATCTATATCAGATCAAACCCATTTATATTGCAAAAGTGATATAATTTTCTCCCTCTTAAGAAAACAAAAAGACGTGGTCTCATTTTCCTCACTCCGGCAAGCCATGGGATTGCACCTCACCAAGGGGGTTTCAGTACTTCAGTGCCTTACACCAGACTCTGCTTTCTACAGAACCTAGGTTAAGCCACCAATCACACAGACAGAACAAGTGCTTAAGATGCCTAAAGATGCCACAACTACTTTACATAAAAATATCCTGACTGGTGTTGTGTTTTAAATTATGCTGGCAGATTATCCAAGAGAATAACCTAACAAATGGCAAAGAAGTTACTGACTTCGGAGACGACCAAGGAATGACATTATTCTGAACAAACTGACTAAAAATGTTACTAGGCACATCATTCTTTAGGGAAAATAACAGTTTTTCATCCTTCACTTTGGTATAAGTCACACCATGTTGTATGGGAGGAGGGAGTGTGTAGACATGTATTTGGAATGCACACCTCAATGCTAAAACTAATATAATCATAGTTTTTAAAAAACAATGTAGAGTTATCTATAGCAGAAATTATTTAACACTTTATTTAAAAGAATAACAAGCAGCATCAAAACCCAGCTTAGAAGGAAATCCCACAGGCAGTAGTGATGAATTCTTTTAGAAATGCTGCATCACCAACAGTAGGTGTACAAAGGGTAACACTGTATGAAAACACTTGGCAATCAATGACTCTAAGTTCAAGTGGTATTCAGAATAGTCACAATCTGAACAAAAAGAAGATTTTAAAACACTTTAAATTTTACTTATTTTTTTATGATTATACTTTAAGTTGTGGGATACATGTGCAGAATGTGCAGGTTTCATAGGTATACACGTGCCATGGTGGTTTGCTCCATCCATCACCCCGCCATCTACATTAGGTATTTCTCCTAATGCTATCCCTCCCCTTGCCCCCCACCCCCTGACAGGCCCCAGTGTGTGATGTACCCCTCCCTGTGCCCAAATATTCTCATTGTTCATATACAGATATGTCTTCTCACATACATACACATATACACAAAAGTACCATATGAGAAAATCTGTCCATCTAAAGGATCTCTTTTAATAGATATAAAATAAGAATTGTGTCATAAGAAAATAAACTATAACTAGGGCAGGCACAGTGGCTTACACCTGTAATCCCAGCACTTTGGGAGGCCAAGGCAGCTGGATCACCTGAGGTCAGGAGTTCGGGATCAGACTGGCCAACATGGTGAAACCCTGTCTCTACTAAAAATACAAAAATTAGCCAGGCATGGTGGCTCACACCTGTAATCCGATCTGCTCAGGAGGCTAAGGCAGGAGAACTGATTGAACCCGGGAGGCAGAGGTTGCAGTGAGTCAAGATCTCACCACTGTACTCCAGCCTGGGTGACAGAGCAAGACTCCATCTCAAAATTGAAAAATAAATAAATAAAAATAAAATAACCCATATCTTGATTTCTTTTCCTCTACCAGCCACTACCCCATTTTCCTGTCCTCTTTACAGCAAAATTACCCCTCAAAGAGATGTCTATACTTGCTGCGTCGGCCCTCTCCTATTATCAGGTGTTTGCCCACCACATCGCCAAATCCGTTTTTGACAGGGTTATCAAGGAACCTTATAATGTTTAAATCTTCTATCCTCAGCCCTTATTTTACTTGATCAGCAGCATTTAACATGTCATCACTCCTCCCAGAAATACTGTTCCACTTGGTTTCCTGGAACCACACTACTGGTTTCCCTCCTACCTTGTGGCCATTGCCTCTTAACTCCCTCACAGGTTCCACCTCCCCCCCACACACACATCTCTCTACCCTCATGAACAGGCAGGCTCCAATGGCTCACTCAGATTTTTTCTTCTTTCTTCACTAATCCCTCAGTGATATCACCCAGTCTCATCATTTTAAATACTATAACTCCAAAATTTATACCTTCATCTCCAACTCCTCCAACTTGCTTAGCATACCCTTCTACACGTCTACCAGGCACTTCAATCACAACTAGCTGCAGGTATGTCTTCCCCTCTCCCCACATACACCTCAACACCATACTTCCTCTTGTCTTCTCCATCTCAATAAATGGGAGCATCATCATCTAGTTTCTCAGGTCAAAACTTCTGGAGACATACTTGACTCCTCTCCGCACATATCCCCTAATCTGAGTCCATCAATAAACCTCTGCCGGCTCTACCTTCAGAATATATTCTGAGCCTACTCTTCCCACCACCTGCCCTGCTATTACGCTGGTAAGAGGAGCCGCCATCATCTCTTGCCTGAATGATGTATTAGCCTGGGCACTTCTATCCTTGCTGCTCTCCAGTCTGTTCTCAATATGGTAGCCAGAGTAACTGTAGGAAAGATAAATCAGGGTTGGGTGCGGCAGCTCACAGCAGTAATCCCAACATTGTGGGAGGCCAAGGCAGGCGGATCGCCTGAGCTCAGGAGTTGGAGACCACCCTGGGCCACATGGTGAAAGCCCGTCTATACTAAAACACAAAAAAATTAGCTGGCGGTAGTGGCGCGTGCCTGTAGTCCCAGCTACTTGGGAGGCTCAGGAATGAGAACTGCTTGAGCCCAGGAGGCGGAGGTTGCAGTGAGCTGAGATCGCGCCACGGCACTCCAGCTTGGGCTACAGAGTAAGACTCCATTAAAAAAAAAAAGAAAAAAGAAAAAAAGAAAAGAGAAAAATCATAAATCAGGCCATGTCACTCCTCTGCTCAACCCTCTGTTGACCTCTCATTTCACTCAAAGTGAAATCCAGAGTTCTTAAAGTAGCCTACAAGTTCTAAAACTCGGACTTCCATTTTCTCTCTGACTTCAACCCTACCAGTCTTTCCCACACTCACTCTCCCTCCAGCCACACTGGCCTTGCTGTTCCTCCAGTATACCTGCCATTTAATGACCTCAGGAGCTTTGCACTTGGTATTCCTTCCGCCAGGAATATTCTTTATTCCAAACATCCACATTCCTGTGTTCCCTCACCTGCTTCAGGTCCCTGCCTAATTGTCACTCCCTCAGAGAGGACTTCTTGACTACCTTCTATAAAATTGCATTACATTTCTCTCTAGTTCCCAACTCAGCTTCAAATGAGTTCATAGCATATTATAATATATAGTCATTTATGTATAGTTCAACTCCACTAAAATCCAAATCTCTTTAGGGCAGGGACTTTGTTGAGTTTGTCCAAGACGGTGTCTGAAACAGTGCCTGGAACATAGTAGGAACTGGTGAATAGTCATTGAAGGAATACTTCAAGTCTGAATTATTCATTTTGACAATTAAAAGTTTACATATACTGTTGATAGTAGCCAGTAAACTCATCGAATGTATTACCCCTACTCTAAAGCATAGTATAAAGCAAAATTTTAAGTCTAAAATTAAGACTAAGGGACTTCAATTCATGATAGATCTAGGAGTGGTTATAGGCATTCATGAAGATCTTCTTAAACACTTAAAATGGCATCAAGCCAATAACTCATGCCCTTCCATAGGCACACCCCCCACCCCAACCCTAGCACGTGCTGCACACCCAGTACAGCTATCACCAGTAGGCTCCCCTCTTCCAGAATCATTCATATGCTTTGTGTCCTGGCTAGAATACTGTTTTGAATGAAAAATAAATCTCAGATATAGACACTAATATCTAAAATATACAGACACCAAATTTCTTAGATATTCACTTACCAACGGCATTTTATTTAACTGTATTCTTTATAATAAGAGGAACATGTTAAGTGCATAACTAAACGTGATTAAGTTTACCTCTTAAATCCATCAAAAATAAAAACAAAAGCTAAATCAGCATGAAAAAATTACTTATTTTTGAACTGAAGATCATCCTCTTACCAAGATGGCAAGATCAAAAACAAACTGATGTCCACAGCCAGAAAGAACAATAAGTAAGAGAACTGGGATCCCATCCATGCTTTGATTTTGAAAGATAATCAACTAACTTATTAAGATTCCAAGATTCGAACCTATAATTGAGCAGTCATTATTTGCAGTTATTTATTTTTTTTAATGCAAACAAGGCAGAAGGCTAACAGAGAATGGAAAAGCATCCCACTCATTGGAATAAACACTCATTTAAAAATTGTAAAAGGCTGGTCATTTTATAGCCTATTTCAGGAAAACTAAACAGGCTACAAGCAAAACATCAATAAATTAAAATTTCCTTTGTCAACATCTGCTCCTTAGAGTCTCAATATGACACAAAATTCTGAAGTGACACCTTCTAGTTATTTCTTAGCTTAGGAGATCATGTGCTATATTTTAAAAAGTCTATTTCAAATTAGTATCAACAAAATCTAAGTTGGGTGGACAGAACGACTCTCAGACATACCAAAAAGCCACAAGTACTAGTAATAACATCTCTAACTCCAGGGGAATAAATTCTGCTGGGACATGACAGGGTGTACCAGGTTATTCACTATAGCTAGAAACTTTCCCAAGAACGATATTAGTTGGAGGCAAAATGTTTAGGGATATCAGCCCAAAGGAACTGGTAGGCCTCTACAATTCTTCTAAAATTTCTATTAGAACCTATTACTCTTAATGTAACAATAGCAGAAAAAATGTTTTACATAATTTTGCTAATAGTGAACATTTATTAAGGACATATTAAGCACATGTTAAGCTAGGCACTGTAAGTATGTTAAATATGTCAGTTGTTTCATAAAATCATTTCATAAGTCTCATTTAAGGATTTAATAACAACCTGCATGATACAAACTCATCTGCCTAGCACCCACTTGTTCAGCAGCCTTACCCCTCTGCAATGAGGCCAAGAACCAAGAGGAAAGCAAAAACAGACAACACCATATTCAGGTACTAGCCTTCTAGAATTCACATTTGAGAGAAGCACCCACTCACAGGACATCACAGGAGAAACTGTACTTAATTTGGAACCAGAAATCTCAAGGTTGGGCAGACTTAAGAACTCAAAAGTGCAACGGCACAAAGAAGGTCATTAGCTGTCCTACTTACCTTATTATAACCCAGTGATTTATCATCTGATAGCACAGTGTAATAATTCCTTTAGGGCAAGTATTCTGGTTTGCTCATTGTGGTACCCCCAGTAGGGAACAGAACCCTTAGAGCATTGAATGTGCTCAGTTTTCATTAATGATGCTTATAATAATCATCTTTGGTCATCAGAAAGATTAAATTACATCTAATATATTATAAGAGAAGAGCAAAATACATTCAAAACGATTCTCATCCATTGTTAGCATTCAAATAAAGGCTTCAGGGGGAAAAAAAAAAAAGGCAGCTCTTCAGCTGTCCAGAAAATGTGATTATTGAGAGCAACTGCTGAGAGTTCCAGGAAACAAGTTCCAGGAAACGTGCACAGTACTGTACTCCCTACTGGTGACCAAGGCATCCTGACCCACGCTGCCTCCTGAAGCTACAGGCAAAGTGGAAAATGAGGATGTGTGAGAGTATGTAACTGACTGCAGCTCCCACCAGAATAGAAAAGTCTGCTAAACCCATCAAAGGGATATCCAGAGTGGAGACAACTCTGAAGGAGTACCTAAAGGTAGCAATCACCATGCAGATTTATGGGGGTATTAAATAATTTATCTCACTTTTAAATACATATGGCTCGCCCCACTTCCATGCCTGTTCTTTCTTGGGGACTGCCCACCAGCAGGTTGAAGGCAAACAGGCAAGGAATGCAGAATTTGAAGTGCAGGGGACCCTGGCGAAATACTGACACCAAGAATCAGAGATGACTGTGTGTGCGGTAACTTTAAATACATATTTGTTAAATCATATAAAGCGCGTTCCTTCTTGAAAGGCACTGCTCTGGTTGCTAAGTAGCTGAGGCTCTGCGTCATAGTGGATTAGTGCAGAAATGTGTCATGGAGAGGGCTCTGTCCTCACCCTTTTAAGTTGAAAGCGGTTAAGGTTTTTGTTTTTTTTACCATTCTGAAAGAGACTCTGAACCGAGTTTAACATCCTTCTGTACAAAAATTTTCCGACAGGATAAATAAACTACTCTTCCACTGAACTGTGACTTTTGAGCTGACTGTAGGGTGCACCCAACCTTCCAGAGGTGCGTGCCTGGCTTCACCCTCAAAGAGGCAGCTCCAGTCCCAGGAGCCGGTCAGCACCACAGCACCTGAGCCGGGCACTGCAGGAAGGAAAGCAGAATCTCTAGTGAAACTTCTCATTTCCTGTCGCTGCTGAGAGAGGTTGGACTCGCTCCTTCTCACATGGTTTAGGAAGAGCTGTAAACATAGCCATGAAGCTTGCTGGCCGGCCACCAGCTCAGGGCCCCCGGGGGCAGCCTCTGGGTTCTGCTCCCGGTTCTTCCTTTCGACCAGTGTCACTCCTGGACAGATAACGGGACCGAACGCCCTCCACTTCCTCGAGTCCTCATTTATGTCATGGTTTCTCTTTCAAGAAAACATGAGAACAAGACTCAAAGCAAAAGAAGAGACTAAAGGCAAATTACCCCATCATCTTGTTTCGTCCCTCCCCTTAGTTTTTACGGAAGAGCTTGATCAAATTCCCTTTGTCGCGCCACACGCACACGCAGAGTAGGTGAAGGGCACCCTAAGACAACTTATTTCTTTCCCGCCTCACAGAAAGCCTTTACGAAATCCTCACACCATCTCCGGACGCAAGGCTTTCGCATTCAGCTTGAGGCGATAAGCCATTTCAAGCCAAGGTAGGAAAAGCCGAAGTGGTGCCAAAGTGGTCCCAGAGCAGAAGGCTGGGAGGCAGGGCAAGCTCAGCGCACCTAGACGTTTGCATTTACACAAAGAAATTAGCCGCAAGATTAATGGGAGCTGCCGGCTGGAGGCGGGGCGCCGGCGCCGGCCTCCTCACCTGGGACATCTGCGGCCTCAGGTTGATCTCCTTCAGGTTGATGGAGTGCGCCCGGAGGTTGTTAAGCAGCTGGCAGAGCAGGACTCCATCGCGGAGGGTCTGCGCCAGGTCGAACACCTGCGCCGAGTCCCAGGTCACCCGGTGGTTGGCGGGCAGCACCTTGCAATGGATGAGCCACTGCGCGCACTGCTTCCACGGCTCCATGCCCGACGGCTCCGGGACACGGCCCGGCCGGGGCGGGCGGTGAGGATGCGGCAGCCGCGGCTCCTCCGCGCCCCGCCGACGCCAGCAGCCGCCGGCCCCTTCCCCGCGCGGGATCGAGGCAGCAGGCGCCGCGGCCGGCGGGTCGCGGGTGCAGCGCTGGGCTCCGCTCCGGTCCCGGCCCGGGTGCGCCGCAACCGGGCCGCAGCTGCAGCGAGTCCCGCGCGCTCTCCGTGCGCCCCGGCCGGCTCGGCGGCTGCGGCCGCGCACGGGCTTCCGACTCCAGCGCCCGGCCCGCCACTGAGCATGCCCAGCGCGCCGGCCGGTCTCGCTGCCGTCCGCGAGTCCCCAGAGGCGCGGGTGGGAGCGCGCCGGCGGCAGGGGTTGGGGTCGGTGGCCGAGGGCGGGGCCCGGGGGAGGGGCCGGCGGAGGGGGCGGCGGCCACAAAGGGGATCCCGTGCCCCCGGCCGCAGACTCTCGGGGCCCACGCAGCCCCCGGCGTCCTGGGGTCTTCTCTCGGGGCGGGTTCCCGGCTTTGCGGGGAGTGTGGCTGAATAGTGTATAATACGAGGGGCTCCCCCAGGGCCCCCTGAACAACAAATGCTCGTAGGAACGACGGATTAATTGGGGCACCCGGACTCCCTAGAGAAATGAAAAAGTGCCCAGAGCATCCGTAGAGCACGGCGCTGAAAGTTTTAGAGATCGTCGCCCCCGCGCGCCTTCCAGTTCTATCCCCTCCATTCTCCACAGCTGATTCCTCAGCCTGTTCCTCCTAGTTGCCCCTAGGGGTGTTTGGGCACCCTGAAAGCAAGTGAGAGTGAGTGTGTGGAGACGCCTGCAGAAACCGCCCCCATCTCGGAGCCTATTTCCTCGCGAGGTGATTTTCACTTGGAGTTTGTTTCCCCTTCCCCGTCAGGCTCGGAACTGTTCGTGGTAGCAGTTCTGACCCTTTTGCTGACCCCGCAAAAACCTGCCTGAGAAAGGCCTGTGCCACGGTGCTAGACTGCGCATGCGCAGGCGGCTGGCGACCGGGTTTGAAAGCAAAGCGCGGTGGCCCTGGGCAGCTCCTACAGGCCTGTTCTGGGATCCTTAGTGAAAGTTGGAACTTGCCCCCAGGACTTTGCACAGTGCACAAGCAGTGCATCCGTGTTTGTTAAGTAAATCTTTTGGGGACTCTAAACTCCACCCCTTTTACTCCTACTGCACACTGCCCCCCAAAAACCACAATTAACGTTTCAATTATTCATGGCAAGATATTGCCACATTGAACTCTTGCTGTTTGATATAAATGTGATCCTTCGTTACCCTTTTGAGATGCATTCATTTAAAATTTGAAAATAAAAAGACTCCAGTTTGACAGGATTTTCGATACTGTATTAGATATCTGGACCCCAAATTTTTTATTACAAACCATATTTTATAAGCAATCCAAAATATTATTTTTAAAAGAATGATCTGTTCAGGACAGGGACTGCGTCCTTTTTCGCTTGGCTATGACAAGGATAGCACAATGTGTACACTCAGCGCTGAACGATAAATCAGCCTGAGGATTTCCTTTCCTCACAACGCATCCTTCCCTAGCAATTTCCTCTTGTGTTCAGTGTGGATTCCATCAATAGCACGATATTTCCTAGGCCATAATTTTGGCAAGTAAATTATACTAAACTCCACATATCTTTAGAAGCAAAACCCAACACATCTGAATCATCATTTAATACAAAGTCCTTCATAAAAAGAAATTAGGAAAAAAAATCCTTAAAAGGGAAGAAATTGAAACTAAAACTATGAATTTTGTTTCAGGTAGCAACAGGTCACCCTTGGATGTTGGAGAATATTTCCAAAATCCAGATAATATACACTATCCCAGGAGGCAAATCTGGATTTAGAGCCCAACCTGTACTGCTTTCTAGCAACATGACCTTGGATAAATTCTCTACACTTCAGTTTCCATAGATATGAAACAAGAAATAATTTCTAACTAATAGGGTTGTTGTCAGGATCAAATGATACAACGTCTTGCTATTCAAAATACAGCCTGTGGACAGCAGCATCACCCTTGAGCCTGTCGGCAATGTAGACATTTGGGCTATACTCCCATACTGAGGATGAACCAGAACCTGAATTTTAGCATCTCCATATCACACACATGTATTTCCATCAAAAGCTGAGAAGCACTGATACAATGCATAGAATGTGTGGTGCCTGATAATAACAGCTCAATAAATATTACCCAATGCTAGCCACTTTGCATTGACAAGTGGCAACAGTGATCAAATATTCTATTTAATTTCTCTCTATAACATAATATATGACTTCAAAACATAATGATTCTCAAATATAGTAAAACACAGAGTTGATAGAAGGGCAACCAGAAAATATATGGAAGGCCTAGAAGGGAAGGAGGTTAGTGGAGACACCGAATTCTTCACGTAAACAAGGAGCTGGGTGTCAATAGGTGACGCACGTGGAAGACATTTAAGTGTCAGAAATTGGTGCCATAGAAATAGCAATGGGCTTCTCACCTGAGCTATCCTTAATAAAGGAAAAAATTCAGTCTTTTCCACTTTTTTTTTTTTTTTCTTTTTTGACAGTCTTACTCTGTCGCCCTGGCTGGAGTGCAGTAGCACGATCTCAACTCACAGCAACCTCTGCCTCCCAGATTCAAGCTATTCTGCCTCAGCCTCCTGAGTAGCTGGGACTACAGGCATGAGCCACCACGCCTGGCTAATTTTTGTGGGGCTTTATGGGGCCTAACCCTTGTCCCAACAGATCACTGATCTCAGCCTCCAGGCCTGCCCTGGCTAGTCATCAGAGTGGTAGGTGCTAAAAGCAGGAGGCAGAGGCTGAGGAGGACAAGTGAGGGGAGTGGGGTCCAGCACAGGGAGCAGGGCTCTGTCATGCAGATTGGAGTGCAGTAGCACAATCTCTGCTCACTGCAACCTCCACTTCCTTGGTTCAAGTGATTGTCCGGCCTCAGCCTCCCGAGTAGCTTGGACTACAGGCATGTGCCATCACACCTGGCTGATTTTTATATTTTTAGTAGAGATGGGGTTTGCCCATGTTGGCCAGGCTGGTTTCAAACTCCTAACATCAAGTGATCCACTCACCTCAGCCTCCCAAAGAGCAGGGATTACAGGTGTGAGCCACCACACCAGCCTTCCTTTGCCATTTTAAAGGAAAGATTCCACCTAGTGAAGACAAGTTGGGAAATAGGGATTAACTAGTCAGTGGCAACTCCTTGCTAATCCTGGTACCTAGTGTTCTTACGATGTGCAAGAAGGCCTTTCTTGCATACCTAACATGGGACTTCACAACCCCTCCTACTGTCCTACTGCCCTTGACTCCTGCATAGCCCCTGAGGCACTTCCACCCTCTCTTATTTGCTGAATGCCCACTATGTGTCCAGCACTCTCCTGGGCACTTTACATGCACTATCTGCAAGTGAGAAGATGCTCTCCTACCCATGAAGAAGCTGGAGATCCACAGAGTTAAGCATCTTGCTCTTTATTAGAAAGCTCAATAAAAGGATGAGCTCGTGCCTCCACATCTGTGCCCCTTCTGTTCAGAGTTGTGGCTCACCATTAAAATAATTACCCTATCAAGCTTAATTACTGGTTTGAATATCATTCTCCCTGCTAGACTGAAACACCTTGAAGGCAGGGGTGGTAACTTATTACTCTTCAAATTCCCGGAACCAACCTAGGTACCTGTCACATAACAAATAATAAATATTAGTTTAGTGAGTAAATAAATGAATAAGTTATGTTAACTCTCTTGTTCTCCCTCCATCCCCTCTCTGCCTTTCTAGCCTGTCTTTCTGGTGGTGAAAAGATCAGGAAGGATTTGCCAGCATTACTTGTATGGGGCATAAGAGCCACATGAAATAAAGATCTGCTTTTTTTTTTTCTGTGTGTCTCGCCAGTCTTTCTGTGCCCTCCAAGATGAGCAGGCTCTGTTTCTCTCTTGTATCACGGTGTTGTTTGGATCTTGCTTCAGCTCTACATCATATAAAAATGGGAAATGGAGTAAGTCGCATCCTGAGCTGCAGGAAAGACAAGGACAACAGATAATGGATATCACATAGTAGGTTCCTTGCCATGTTCAAAATTATATCCTACATGGTAGGATGTTCTACATCAGGCCAAATGTACTAAGAAAACTGAAGTAAAGGGGCTGAAAGCCACATTAATTCATTGCCTGCTGCATCTTTATTGTCACTCAATCCTTAGCAATATTATTCTTCCAACTCTTAAGTTTACAAAGACATTAACATCTATCTTCCACCAGGAAAGTCAGAAACCCCTTTTTTTAAATTTATTTTATTTATTTTTTTTTTTCTCGTGAGATGGAGACTTGCTCTATTGCCCAGGCTAGAGTGCAGAGGTGTGATCCTGGCTCAGTGCAACCTCCACCTCCTGGGTTCAAGTGATTCTCCTGCCTCAGTTTCCCCAGTAGCTGGGATTACAGGCACATACCTGACTAATTTTTTGTATTTTTAGTAGAGACGGAGTTTTGCCATGTTGGGCTGGTCTGGAACTCCTGACCTCCAGTGATCCGCCCGCCCCAGCCTCCCAAAGTGCTGGGATTACAGGCATGCGCCACTGCGACATTTTCTTTATTCCTCATTGTATTTCTTAT